AGACACACACAGAGAGAAAGGGGAGGGGGGGGGGCGAGTTTAAAAAATAGATCACACTTAAAAAAAACAAAAAAAAAAAAACAAAAAGACAAAAGGGAGGGGAGAGGACGACTGATTACTCAAATGTGCCACTCCAAAAAGCAAACATTTACATTAGCTAATCCGATTATAACGCACGGACTGGATTAGCTCATGGAAGCGAGGGCCTGTACTGCCTAAACCAATGAGCGCCATCAAAATGAACAGCCATCTTGCTCGCATGTGGCGCGCGAACCCGTGAGAGTTGCAGAAGGTTGCGAATTAAGAATTTCGAGAAGGTGACAAGAAATGCGCCAGATCTCGACTCACAACTACGGAAAGGGCGAGTGCTGGGAAGGAGCCTCACAGTCATGCGCTACCGTGCGATGTGGAGCCAGCTGACTGCTTTTAATTAGCTAGACGGGACTGATTAAAACGCACGGACACACACACGCGCGCGCAGACACATACACACGCTCTCAGTATGGCTAAGAGCATGTGGGGAATTGGGACATATGACCGCCATGCGTTTCTGCCATTTTCGGGTTCCCGTCTTCAAGTACCGCAATTTTCAATTCCATTCCTGTTACGTACATCTTTCGACGCCATTTTTTTGTTGTCGTGGTTTTTGGTCGAACACTCGCCTCATGTGACAACACAAGCACACATCCATCCCCACATGCATGCACAGAGTTCCAGGAAGTGTTTCCTGTGCGACGCGCATCCGGTTTGTGAGGTGCAGTCGGCGCCCTCAAAACATTGTCGCCTTTTCTTCCTCTGTCCTATTTTTGTGTTCGCGGAACCACATACTTGAGGTGCGCTTTCACTAGGTTGGGACATCTAAAGTGCAACGGTGTGCGACTTTATGATCGTCAAAATGTCAATACGACATGTGTGACCACTATCGCCGAAAAATAAAGAAATAAATAAACTATTGGCTGTTTTTGCGCTCGGGCCAACGTTATATAACAGTATTGCTTTGTTGCCATCTGTTGGCCTCATGGTGCCAGAGGAATACCTTGGAGTGAGTTGAGGAGTTTCGTTCAGAAATAAGTAGTGCTGAAACCAACCGATGTTGGTAGGAAAAAAAAAAATAACACTTTTATTTTGTGATGAGTCTAATCTTTCATTTGGAAGTCATCGTACACAATATTCTGTGAGCCAGTCGGAATACAATACATCTTTATTTCGAAGCGCTTTGACAGTGCTCTCAATTGGCTGGCACTCAATTGGTTTTCCTCTTTAAAAAAAAAATAATAATAAATGACATGCACTGAAAGAGTTAAGTGTGACAGAAGCCTCAATCACAGCCGTGACGTGACATAGCACGGGGGAATTTTTGGCCTTCAAACCGAAACTGTGCTAATTTGACAGCAAAAAGTCATACATTTTCCCCTCAAATGGCAATCGAGGGGATCTTGTGAAAGCATTTGTTCCATCAGAAAAAAAAAAAAAAGCACGTAAACACGCCATCGGATGTTGCACGTTTGTAGCGTGTGTGGCGCAGGGCAGGAATTCCTGCCATTTCAAGCGGGGGCCCTTCCCTTCCTGTCGCCCCCGCGACAAAAACAAGACAAAAATGTATCCCTGGCTCACAATCGCCATAAACCAGGTGGAGGTCCTTTTAAATGGCAAGATGGAGGATTAGCCAACGGAGGGAGGAAGAAGAAGAAGAAGAGGAGGGGGAGGAGGAGGAGGAGGAGGAGGAGGCTGGAGGGAAGATAGAGAGCGAGTTCACCGAGGTTGTCATCTCGGTGCTGCTGATGTCATCCCTAAAGTTAGCAGCAGCAAACCTGTACTGTACAGGCGAAAGACACTCAGCAATGCAACGCCTGCACGCCTCATGCCACCCAAGTGCTTGGAGGAACGGCAAAGGAACGGATGCTTTGCCCGCTTCAGCGATTGAGTCAAGATCGTCAAAAACAAATCGATTTTGTGGCAAAAACGAGTCAAGAATTTGGGCCAGGGAAGAGCCGCCTCCGGACCAGGATCGCGCTTTGCCCGTACCCCAAACCTAACTCAAACCACATCAAGATCTTTCGTCCTTCCCGCTATACCGTCACCTTCGAGTGCTCAAACGGATCTCGGGGCGAGTCAATCAATCTAGTCTGGATTCCCTTTTCCATCTCAGTCACCTTGGGCTCTCGCATTTCACTTTTTTTTTTAATCCTCAATCATATATTTTAATAGTTTCTCTAACCCTGCTTTTGCCGCAGTCCCTTTTCCCCCCCATCATGTCTGTGTTTGCACTAAACCCTTCAGTTTGTCCTTTAAGGCGTCCTACCACCTTCGGAAAAACGCTTCTTCTCCAACATGAGAGACTGATGGGCCAAAATGAGGAAAAAAATATATATGGTGAGAGAATCAGAAAATGCAAAGCCACAACAAGAACACGATGGGCCAATAGTTTCGATCCAGAAAAAAATTGCGTTTCCTTATCTCTGCAAAAATACGCTCGGCGTGAAAGTATTTTTATTTTTATTTTTAAATACGCTCGGCGTGAAAGTATTTTATTTATTTATTTTTTTAAATGAAGTATTGCAGGAGTCTCTCATATTACCCTTCTCTCCGATTCTCCCGCAGGACCTTCGACAAAGTCCCTCAGGCGGAGCCCGCTATCCGGGACCAGAGATGAGCGACGGAATGGACTGCCCCCTCAAGACTTCAAATCAAGCCTGAGCGGACCAGGACATTGCATTTTTTTTTTTTTTTTTTTTTAATAAGCTTATACCATCTGCAATAATAACTGCGCTGTGGTGGTGAACCATCACGGAAACCTTCCCGCCGGTGACTTCCAGAGCCTTCAAGTCAGGAGATGATGCAGATGTTGTGAGTCACACCGATACATAATTGAACCTGAAATCTAATCTCGTGATTTGTAGATAACCCGAGCCTTGACGTCGCATGGTTCGCTCAAGCTAAATGTGATGGCAAGCCCGCATGAGTCAACAAGGCAATGGAAACAAAAGGAAAAAAAAGGTTATCTGAAGAGCTTCCATGTTCTAAAAATCGGGGGGAAAATATGGGATCGTTCATGACAAGGTCTGACAAATAAATAAAAATGGAGATTTATGACACGACAACAATCCTGAAACGTCGAAGGCGGTAAGTCGGATTTATTTGCAGGGATGTTTGATATCGCTTTTGTTCTTGCAACTTTCTAAGGTGTGTGTGAATGAAGTTATTGGGGGGTGGGGGGGTGTATATCCATGTTGAGCCCCCATAGTTTTTTTTGCATTTTACAGGGTAAAAGGAGAAAATGACAGGCCAGAATAAAAATAATAATAATAATTACAATAATAACAACTAGCCAAAAATAAGGAAATAATGGACCAAAGCGGACAACTGTCAGGCCAAAGCAAAAATCAACGTCAATCTGAGAAAATGACAGGACAAAACGACCTCAGCCGAATTGAACCCCCCCCAAGGGACAAAAGACAGAGTGTCTCGACTTGTGCCAACCTCGTCTACCTCCGAGTGGCAGGTGATGCAACAAACGTCTGAGTGGGGTTAAGAAAATTCTGACATTTTGCCTTACGACACAGGAAGCGAGCGAACCACACAAGCATGAACGTTTCCACTGGGGTGGGCGTGCTGAACTCGACACAGAGGGGGCGGCGAATGAACCCCGGTGCACCCTCTGCTAGTTTCCCCACGCAAAAAAAGCAAATCCAATTCCGGATTGGACAATTCAAAGCGCCCATGTGCAGACTTCCTCTTAGATGAACGATCTCGGGAATGAGAACCCCCCCCCCCTTCTAGCTTCTTTCTTTCCCCCCTGCAGGCAAACGAGCTGATGGCTTCATCCATCTGGCTCTGGCTCACTCGCTCTATTGAACGCCGTAACCCGGTAAGGTCCCCGGTGTCTTAATAAAGTCTGCGTCTGTGTGCTAAACTCAAGCGAGTGAAGCTAATAGGCCGGTTGGAAACCGCGGTTAAAAAAAAAACAAAAAAAAAAAAACGGCGTGTGGTCTTTACTTACTGAAACTGCAATGACATTTCAGTGGACTTGAAAATACCGGGTCAGAGCCCAAAAAAATGTTGGGCTCAAATGAGAAAATTACTTGTCAAAACAAAGAACTGACTGGAAAGAAATGAGGAAAAATATTCGCTGGAGCACAAAAATGACACGCCAAAACTAGAAAGGTCACAGGTCAAAAGGACCGGTTTAGATATTCAGCATGTCAAAGCCTCGCAGATGTTGATCAAATTCACCAAAATTCTGAACAGAGACGGATTCATTGATTCATCACGCTCGTCAAGTCATGAGAAATTAGTTCATAGGGACGCCAGCAAACGCGCCGCAAACCACAGAATGAATCTCCGCGCCATGTTACCAGAGCGGCATTGGCGAATACAACGGGGAGGATCCAACGGCACACCCTGCCCCGCTGTGGGTAGATCTCTTTTCTGGATCAATAGGAATCGATCACAAGCGCAGCGTTGGTTGCAAAGCTGCACACAGATTCTGAGATTTCAGGGCGAAAAAAATACGCACCAAGGCTGGAAAAGACCAAACGGGACCCAAACTGATTCATGGATTCAAAAGGTGACATTCCCCGCTGCCATTCAAGGCCTGCGCATCTCCATTGAGTGCACAGCCGAACCATTAAAGCAAACAGCACAACTAATGGATGGCTGATGTTATTATATCTCGACAACAACAACAACATCCTGTGTCTTTATCTGCCGCGGCGTGTGCAGCGCATTCATCCTCTGCGGACGGTACATTCATACACATACTGTAGACCCGGTACATCGCCACCATGAGAGCGCACACGATGGGCATCCATCCGACAAGAAGCACGCGCTGGAATAATCCCAAAGTCCCAAATGGGAACCTCTTGAAAGCCTTTTCCCAGCATGCATCTGTTCATTCGAACGACAGCGCCGCCCACAGTGGGTTCCTAATAAAACGGGTGGCCGCCTCAAAAAGTTCGACAGGGTTTTGAAAGAGGTGATCAATAAATTCATGGTCCTACCTGGTTGTTGAGATGATCCTGTAGGAGGGGGAAACAAAAGAAGCACAATTAATTTCACACAAGTCACATTCGATTCACGTCATGCTTTTTTTTTTTTTTTTTATGGCATCATATTTGAATTGATGGATTACTTTGAATCGAAAATATGAAAGTTGTGTGACAGTCGTGTGACAACATAACAAAAATAATAATTCCAATTTCTCTATTCACGATGCTCGTCTTATCTGGCCTGATCATGTGGCGACTATAAAACAAACAAGGATGGTACGGATGGCATGAAAACCGACCAGATTCGAACCCAGAACCTCCTAACTGTGAGGCAGACGTGCTCGCCACTACAATCCCGTGATGCCCCACTCTTTTTGCACCAGCCCGCCATTGACCCTGCGGCAGAGGGGGCAGGCTCATTTGCCAGAGACGGACGGACGGACGGACGGGGCTGCCCCCTCAAAACAGGCTCATTTCATCAATCTTGATATTTCGGTGAGGTGGCAGAGGGGGAGGGAATATGTCGCGTTTGTGGAAACTCCCCTGAGCAATTCTCAGCAGCGTGTGTGTGCGTGTCTGTGTGTGCGTGTGCGCATGTGGTGAGCGGCGATTAGCCAAGCCACTAACTGACATGACACACTGATGCTATCAGAGGGAGGGAAAGTTATGCGCGCCTCAAGGCAAAAAAAAAAAAAAAAAAACGCAATATCGGTGACTTCTCGCCAATAAATCGATGGATCGTGACAACAATAATATTGCATCGAAACACAACAAGCAGAGTTATTGCCTTAAAATGTAGGAGACAACTCCACGGACCTTTATTGTTTAACACGGGGATGTTCGATACCACTTTTCTTTTCAGACCGATACCAATATGAGGATTCACTCTTTGAGGACTCACCGGCACCACATTCATGATTGCCTCATCGTGTATCGCGACAGCATCGTATTGTTACTCACCAAAAACCTCAAGAAACATCAAGATTTTCGAACCGAGCTTTACACCTAAGCAGTCGCATTTGGCCTCAGTCCCGCCTTGCGGTGCCCCCGTCTATGATTGTTATTTATCTATTTATTGACTCGTTTTTACTAAATCACTCGTTGCTGTATGGTGATAAGGTATCTCACACCTTAGCATTTAGCCTCAGTCCTACCTTGTATCCGGCGGGTTCTTGGCCGTCCGTGATCAGCTCCCGCTCACCCTTGGGGTTGATCCTGCGGAAGCGCCGGCGGGACCGTCGCTGCGAGCCGTCCCGATGCAGGAAGCCGTCGTCGCCCTCGCCGCCGTTGTCCACCTGCAACACACAGCGGGGACCCTCCTCAGAACGCAAAAAGGACCGCTCCGGCGTCGCTTCGGAGCGGCTGCGCAGGAGAACTTTGGACGGCTCGATGTCCGGAGTGGAATTCTGAGGCGAGGGATCAGAGTTCTGTTTGGTGACTTTGGTTTTCGCCGGCTTAGAATCCACATTGCGATCCTCGTCCTCATCCTTTCGCGCCGTTTCGGCAGCGGGCTCCTGGTTGAAGATCCAGTTCTTCACGAGAACCGACAGCCGGTTCCAGCGCAACCCACTCATCCGGACCACGGGCAGTTAAAAAAAAATAAATAAATAGAAACTTTCAGGGGAAAAAAAATCCGGCCTTTACATCCGAGTTCCGTCCGCTCGACACTTTGCCGAGCCTGCGAGTGGCTCACATGCTCGAGGCCCAGGCGCTTCCTCCAGGAAACGACGCAAACATCCTTCTCACGAGGTGTCGCGGCAGGAAGACGAGAAAAAAAAAAATAGAAAAAAAAAATAGAGCAGATTCCAGAGATCCGCCGAAAACTTCCCAGGAGAGTTTTTGTGCTGGCTGTTGTTGCAGCAGGAATGTGTTTTCTCGGCCGGTTGCGTCAGTCAATGGTGTCATTGTGTCACCACGCGGGAGGAATTTGAAAGACGCAGCACTTAAATGTTGTTTTCGTTCCGCTTTCGTGGAAATGTTGCTTATTGTGAATTTTTTTTTTTTTTTTTTTTTTTGGGGAATCATTTATGAATTGTGTGCGGCTTGTAATACAGTACATGTAGTAATTTCACATCACTTAAGTTATTATTTTCAATGATTTCATATTTATTTGGTAAGCATTACTATTCATGTTTGTATTCTAGTTATTTGTCTTTTTTTTTAAAATCACAGTTATTTGTTAGATCAATTACGATAATTATATTCTGTATATATTTATCTGTTTTTACTCTATTTTATGATCATTTTACATTTTTTTGTTTTATTTAGAATTGATCAAATATGCTTTTATTGTTCGTAATGTTGATAGTTGATACTCTGTTATTGTTGCTGTTATTGCACACACAGCTCTGGGTTTGCTACAACTTGGACGCCACTGCCACCAACAACCACAGTGACGGCCGCGTTATTTGACTGAGTCGCTACAATTTTGCGAATAACGCACTGAAAGGCGCTGACATAGAAGATATGTGAAAATAATGGCTTGGCTCGATAGCTTTACACGCAAAAAGAAAAAAAAAAAAAAAGTCCAGTATGTCCTTTTAATGAGCCTCATGGGACACACTGCATATAATGGGCACGACACTCAGACACCACCCCCCCCCCCACACACACACACACTCGTCTTAAACGGGACCGGACGATAATCTTTCTCTCTCACGAAGCGCAGGACAAAACAATGCATCATGTGACCATCAGCGCGGCTGCAATGTGACCACACTTCCGATTTCCTCATTGAATGCGTGTGCCTGTGTGCATGAGTGCAGGTAAGTGTGTGTGTGTGCGTGTGTCTCATGTCACAACTAAGCATGACCCAAACATGCAAACACACACTTGCCGAAGAATGTCACCTTTGCACCGATATGAGCGGACAATTCCCATGCGGCTAATTAGCCAATTGGCAGGATTTGGGTGAGTCAACATGCTAGCTTTCCCGGTCCGACTGGCCCCCCAAAATAATTTGACGGAAAACTGCTGAATTTATGTTTTGCGCAGTAAATCGGTGTGCCAAAGTTGCCGGGCAATGTAATTCGTGCGGAAAACAGTGATGCGATAAAGTTATGCTACAAAACTGCACTACAAAAATACGAGATGTTACGCTGCAGAATGATGCGACAAAAATTGGACCTGAGTTATCGTAACATTGGATCTTTTTCCTGACAGGGCTGGAATGTCGGTGCAGGTTGTTGTTTTGTTTTTTTTTTTTAAACAAGGAAGTACAAAAAGTAAATGTGATCTGATCTGGAAATCAGCATCTCCGGGAGGAATGTCAGTCACGTTAGACGTGTCAGGAATGCAGACCAAGAGAAAGAAAAAGACAGAGGGAGTCAAAAGAGTTGCCGTGTCTTTCTAGTCTTACCACGATCATTTCTGACGGCTCCAACGTGATGCATTCGCAGCCTCGCCGGCCCCCCAGCTGCTTGCCGAAACTAAAGATGACACACACACATGAACAGAAAGTGTGAACATGAGAGGGAAAATCCAGCTGGAGACCACACACTTGTCAGGCTTTACTTTCACGCAACAAAAAAGTAAAAATACACCAAAGGTATTAAAGGAGTGGGCCACCTTCGGGAATTGTAAAGGGTGAGGAAAAATGTTTTTTTTTTGTTTGTTTTTTTTTTAGTTTATAAAATGTAACCACTCTTTTTTTAGGGGTTGGGTAAACACCACTTTAATCTCGTAATATATTTTTTGCGGCTGTTTTCTAAAGTGCTCAATATAATTGAGTTCTGATTTAAGATTATACATGCCTACGACTGCAACTTTTCATTACAAGAACGGTGATTAAAAAAAAAAAAAAAAAAAAAAACAACTAACTTATGTTTTTTTAATCCCACTTTATTCTCATAGGAGTTCAAATTTTATTTTTAAACAATCTTTATTTAAAAAAAGAATTGATCTAGGGCTAAGACGACCGCTTTTTCTAAAAAAAAAAAAAAAAAAAAAAAAAAAACAGAAAACCCCAACAAACTACCAGTATGACTTTAAAAAAAGTCTTGATTGTTGTATACATGAAAAAAAAAACACTAAAAAAAGAGAAAAACACATCAAGTGTGACCCCAACAAGCGTTTTGGTGTTTTTCTACACGAGCAGCAGCGTACGAGTGTATAAAATGTCACTCAAGCACCACGTCCACATCGCGTTCGCACAATGCCACCTTTTGTCTGCTTTGTGTGATAAGAAAGGGGGCGAAGGGGCAGAGGGGGTGGGGGGTTGGGGGGGGGACCAGCTGAGCGTTTGTCACAAGGATCGAGTTCAATCAGAGTTCGCGGGAAGTTACTGGAAGAGCAAAAATAAAAACAGCAGAATAGATTGTACTGTAAAATAGATACTATAAAAACAGTGCCAATTTTATTTCTTTTTTGGAGATTTTTTTTAAGCAATAATAAGATATACTCTAAAAAAAGAAGCCTACCGTAATTTAATAAACTGTGTTCCCCCTGAAAAAAAAAATCTCAATTATTTAAAAAAAAGGGAAAAAAATCTGAAATTTTGTTCTCATAAAATAACAGTTGTTCCGCCCAAAAAATAAAAATTCATTCTTCAAAAATGACTTTTCTTCCTAAAAAGAAATTAACTTCTAATTCTCGTAAGATAATTGTGTTAAAGTATCTTTTTTTTTCACCTGACTACCTACAAATGCTCCTGACTTGAGTGCAACCCATTTAAACTTGAAATGACAACAGCATAGCGCCTAACCCGTGTAACCGAAAACCGAGCTACATTCCAAGTCAATTTGGAGATTTTTTTTTTTGGTCAAGTTTGGCATTTCAGAAATGCCCACCCTGGTTGAGCGCAACCATTCCCGACGCCAACTGAAGGTGTCCTTTTTCCCTATCGAGTGATGAGATATGCGCATTCAAACTCAAGCACCCGTGTGGGAAAGCCTCGGCTAAAAGTTCAGGTGACCACCCAGGAGAAATGCGGAGGTGACCCAGCAATGCCTGCAGTGTCCCAGGACTTGGGACTTGCGGGCGAGCCCCTCCTCCTGGAAGTCGGGCCGGCTGTTGACAGATGTCTGCGCACCCCAGCGAGGCGAGACCGTCAGAGCTTGCACAAAGTGTCGGCCTGGTGTGTGTCAAATTGGAGGGAACTCACCCTCGAGAATTTTTTGGGGGTTCGATTGCTTACAAATTTTGTAGACTGGATAGATGGATGACGCCAAATTGTGAGAATTTTGCGTAGTTGTCGTTGCGTGTCGGCAGCGCATTATGGTGAGTCTTGATGAATGATGCAAATGTTTTGGGAAAATTCAGCCCCCACGGCAAGTTTTACTCAGCAGCATGAACATTGGTCGACATCATAGGCCCACAAAAAAAAGGCTCACAAAGCCATGCCTAAAAAGGCCCAGAAAGTCTGGCGGTTTGGTTTAAAGCAGATGGGTTTTTTTTTTCCCATTTAATTTTTCCAGTGGTTCTTCAAAGACGAACTCGTACAACAGATTTTGCCCAACTGCCGCCAAATTTGAACCACAACGACAGACAGATGGGAGATGCAAAACTGCGATCCTCATGGGTTTAGGTCATTGCGTGGATTGTCATAAAACAAGTGTCAAATTGCTTGTTGCTTTTGAAGAAGCTGACGAAAAATCTCGACTTGACTTTACCACGTGAAATTTGATGGACAGGTCCATCGAGGGTGGACCCGCAAAAAAAGTCTCAAGAAGCCACACTTAAAAAGATACAGGAAGTCTGACATTTTGGTAAGAAATGGCCATTTTAGGGTCACATTGGCCATTTCAAAGGGTCCTTTCAAAGACAAACCCCCAAATTTGAACCTCATGAACGAGACAGATGGGAGACGCTGAATCGTGAACAATTCTAGTTTTGATCATTGTGTGTGTTTGGATCAATAGCAACCAAATCTGATGACTCAGCTTAAAACTCATACCCCCCCCCAAAAAAAAAAACACCAGATCCTGAAACTGAAAACAGAGCTGACTTTTTTTTTTTTTTAACCCCAACTGTCTCTTTCGGAAAGCACCAAATACTGTAGTTCCATAGAGAACAGCTGTCAAGTTCAGTTAAATAGAAACCTAAGCGGGAGGACACTCATTCGAATCCATCAATCCTCAATTTGTGCATCTTCAATGACTCCGGCCGCCCGTTGAGGCGGCAAACAAGTCGGGTTGATGACTTCACGTCTTGAAACCCAGCTGGGACGTTAATGATTGTTGATATGAAGTCCACACGAGCGGCAAGCTTTTCTCATCATTCGTTCAACCACACGCGTGCATACACAGACAAATATTGAACTCCCAAACCACTTTGCCTGTGGAGGAAAAAAAAAAAAGCATCCTAAGTGCCAGATTTTGGCGGGTGATGATCTCCTGTGCCGCCGCCCATCTTTCAACCCCGGTTTTACGAAACAAGGGTCTGTGTGTGTGTGTGTGTGGGGGGGGGGGGCTGACAGGTCCCCTGACAGCTGCGGGGCGCGGGACCAATGCCCCCCCCCCCACTCCGCACACACATACCGAGTGCAACCATGTTGAGATAAAACGACAACTATTGAAGATGTCAAGCAGCTTGGATGCGAGACACAATAAATGGCTTTGAAAGTTCTTGGTGCGTGTGTTGGAGACTTTTTTTTTTTCCTCTGTGGATTATTTCGAGTAGGAGTCCTGATCATTTCTGTTGTGCAAGGTGGCAAAGCAAGAGGCAGATTTTTAGAGGCTTGCACGTGTGCCGTGTGCTGGTTGAGCTGTTTTTTTTTTTTTACATGGATGATTTCAAGGCGTCTTGTGGATTTATTTTGACAAGGTGGCGGTTATTAGGTGGACTTTTTTTTCCAGGTCCACTTTCTTATTTGGATTGTGCACAGTGGAAGAATAGAACGACCATATTACCTATTATCATTTTGTGTCAGTGTTCCAGAGTTGTTTTTTGCAATTCCTTTTTTTTTTTTTTTTTTTGACTGTGGTGTGGATTATTTTTAGTCGTCACTCACGCTGGCCTAAAATAGCAAGACTTTACGTGTCAAATAAAGTATGGTTCCAATGTCAAAACTGGAGTAACCTAGAAGAGCCTAGAAGGCATTTTCAGGGTTCAACAGCTCAATCAAAACAAAGCGGCGGGTCCACCACCATTTCCATGGCTACCAGGACCAAGCGGAAAGGAAACAGAAACAAAGGATGAAAATACACACACACACACACACACACACACACACACACACACACACACACACACAACTTTATGAGTCATTTGCAAAACAATAATGCGACGTTTCCATTTTATTTTCGCCGCACTCATTAGCCGTGCTGTTTGTTTTCATTGGGAACAAGGAAAAGAGTTCCCACATTTGGGAATGTTATCAGTGTTGTTTGTGGACTTACATATTGATAAAACATAACTGTGTGTGAGAGAGAGAGAGAGAGAGAGAGAGAGAGAGAGAGAGAGAGAGAGAGAGAGAGAGAGAGAGAGAGAGAGTGAGTGTTTGGAACCTAAAGAGGGACGTCTCTGTCCAATCCAAAAGACGGACAAGGAATACGTTAGGGGAAGGAGAAAAGCGGGAGCTTTGAAAGAGCTCAAGGTTAGAGGGATGAAAGAAACGGCGGAAAAAGAAAAAGAAAGTGTGAAGCTCACTAACCGGCAATGTTACAGGACCGCTTGTCAGGAGTCCATGGAAGTGAACGGAAATCCAGCATGTTATTCACCAGGGCGGTTAAAAAGAAAAGACAAAAAAAAAAAAAAAAAAGAAAAAAGGGAAAAAAAACAGACGATCCCAAAAGTTACTCCGCAAAAAGTTTAGGAGGAAGGAGTGTGTGTGTGTGCTGTCTCCCGCTCGATACTGCCCTGTCTGTCGGCTGCCTTTGCTCGTGCGTGCGTGTGTGTGCATGTGTGTGTGTGTGTTGCTCATTTCCTGCCTGATGTGCTGGCAGGCTCCATGCGGGCAGGCTGCACAAGAACACATGGACTGTTCCACCCAGGTCTACACATTCCACACACGCTCAAACACGCACGCACGCACGCGCACACACACACACACACACACACACACACACACAGAGAAAAAATACACTCTGACCTGCTCCTACACCCCCTGCTGTGGCCACTAACCAACACACAGCCTCCGGTCATTTTGCATGTCTGAAAACCTCCCCCACACGACTACTGCCAACGCGTGTCCGCGCGCGCGCACACACACACACACATTCATGCATACATACACGTATTCGCAATGTATGTGGAGATCCTTCTAGCAAGCCTAACTAAAGCAAATCAATGTGTCAGTCTCCAGGAAAAAAAAACGCATATTAAAAATCAGCTCTATTACTTTTATTTTATATTCCAAATTACAATTTGCAAAATACGGTGTGTGTGTGTGTGTGTGTGTGTGTGTGTGTGTGTGTGTGTGTGTGTGTGTGCGCACGCATTGATGTCCACGTACCAGCACCTGGCCAGGTACATGTGCTCCTTGACGAAGACGGACCCAGAGAGCAGGACGTACCAACAGCTGGCAATGCTGTCAGGACTGCACAACAAGAACAAGAAGAAGACTTTTCTTAACTTCTTACTTTGAAACGTAAACACCAAAATCCGAATCTAGACTTGAAACACAATTTAGGAACGCTAACTTGATACCCTAACCCTAGTTTGAAACGCTTGAGTGTTCTGAGGGTGTACTCACTAGAAGAGGATGTGGTTGGCCTCGTGTCTCTCATACCTGGCCGAGGTGCACATGGACCTGCGGGAGGGTGAAAATAAAAAATGAAAATTGCATTCAAGCTCTTCTGCCCAGCACTGTTTCAGCCTTCATCCCTCATCTTTTTTTATTTATTTTTTTATTACCATTGTGGGTAGCGGTTTTGAGGCACAAATTTTTTTTGTGGGGTTCAGTTTGCAACTATTTTGTTCTCATGCCCTTTTTTTCCAGGTGTAATTCCACTATCGACCAACAGATGGTGGCACAGTATTTTGTTTCACTTTAAGAAGAAGAATGAAAGTGTTTTGTTTTTTTGCTTCAGATGAATGTCAAATCCTCTTCAATCCTGCTTTTTACGCCTAAATGAAGCAACACCTGCAGATTCATTTTATAATGTACATCATTGGCAATGATTTATTGGGAGATGACAAGTTTGTTACTTTGGAAAATACATGATTTGTTTCCTGTAAACACAGAGGGATCGGAACACTGTTACACTGTGCAACATTTTTTTTGTGTGTGTTAAACATTGCTGTTGCTCTCTCAAGATACAGTATTTTCTGTGTTTGGATTATTTTAAAAGAGTGTGTCAAGACGTTGAAAAAGAAGTACCGCAAATGCTATAAAAACATGCCTCGGGAGTATTTAAATATATTTAAAATACTGAGGATTTCACTTATTGAGGTCTGGAACGTAACCCCTGCGGTGGAGGCCCCATTACGATATATTGTTTATGGTTATTAATTGTTGTCAGTGACACCTGACAGCAGCCGAGGGAACATTCCGAGCATGCTGTAACCACAGGCTAGAAAACCTGTTTGCAACGTGAGCCATCAACAAAAAGTAAGCAATAACTCCGAGAAAAGTTGCGTTGAGCGCAGGGGTGTGCATACTTTTGTGCTCAATGGCCTTTTGATTCTTTAAAAAGGAGAGATGGGCCATTTATTTAAGAATGAAACATTTAATGTCAACTGTTTTATCCGGCAAATATTTTTACGTTTGATTGTTTACGATAAATAGCCATTTTTTTTTCATCAAGGATAAATAACGATGGAAAAATAGCGAATTAAGTCATCTGATTTTCGAGGGGAAAGACGGCTAAATCAATGCATACATTCCAGGATTATTGATAATGTAAATGTTTGGCGGCAGGATTAATAGACCAGCTCTGGCGGCTGCAGTTAGCATGTTAGCATTGTGTGTTAGCATACGGACCTTAGCTGGTGCTCCCTGAGGTGAGAGAGGACATCCATGTGGTACAGGTGGCAGTAGATGGTGTGCAGGTCCTAAAACACAGGGGGGGATTGTTGATGCTTAACCATGCTAGATGGTGATAGTTTGGAATTTTAAAAAATATATTTTTTACAGTATGTTCAAATACGACTTGGGCAACTATACGACTAGGCTAGCAAAATAAAAACGGCTAAATCTCAACTCAGCTTCATTTAGAGACCACTTTACAAACAACCCTGGCGGCGTGCAAAGTGCTGTCCATAAAGCACACATCAGACGTATAAAACAATACATTCATAACCCAATAAAACACAAAAACTAAAAGCCGAGTCTTATATTGCTTTGCATGTTCTTATCCATGTGCGTTCATCTCAATGCTTGGGAGCTGTGGGGATGTTTTCTCAAGCGCGCGGGGGAAGCGAGCCCAACGTCCTGACACGTGAACGGCGTTCGCCTCATTGATGCCGACACGCCGGTGACAGCATCCACCCGTCGCGCTCCCGAAATAGAGCGCGATCAGGCCCGCTTGTCAAAGCGCTAAGAGGTTGACAGAATGCGGACGCAGAGCAGATAAGCGGCGGACAGTTTTTCCGGCACGGCCGTCAGGAGTCCTCTTCATTGATCTTTGTTTCCTTGGAGAAGCTGGAGTCAAAATGGAGAGTGCTACATGGTTTGATGTCATCCAACACCAAAACGACCCTAAAACAGCAGACTTCAAATCAAAATGGTTGGCTTCCTTCTTCAGACTTTTTTTTTTTTTTTTTTGTGGGTCTACTCATGCTGGCATGTCCCCCCGAATTTCATGCTGCTAAGCAAAACAGGCTGCGGGGGATGAATTTTGAGGTACGTGGTCACGGTTCCGCTGCAGCGCATTGATTTGCATTAAGTGGGTTAGTAAGCACAATCAAGTATTGCAGTAAGCACCCCCGTCGTGTTGGCGGTTCATGCCCGAGGCATGTGGCGCTCACATGTGACAAGGCGGGCTGCCATTGGTCCAGTGCCTCCAACTGTGGCCCTTTTCACACTCGTACTTTCTTAAAAATACCATATGCACTAAAAACCTTCACTTGTTTCCATAACAGAAGTTGACTTTGCTGCCTCAACGGGCTGCGGTAGAAATTCAAAGGAATGGTCCTTCGAGAGAAACTTAGGCTTTTAAATTTTTTTTTACCACAACCCGTTGAAGCAGTAAAGTATTTGTTCCTTCCAGAAAGTACTGAAAATGTGTTTTTTTCCCTCACTTCAAATGTACTTTGGATTTGTGCCGCAGCCCATCGAGGCAGCACAGTTCGCCCTTCTAGAAAGAAATTTTATTTACTGCAGAGCAAGTTAGGACCTTTCCTTTTCTATCGCGGCCTGTCGATGCAGGAAGGTTCGTACTTGGAGATAATTTTTTATTGATGTTGGAAAGATCCGTTGCGGCAGCAAAGTATTTTTTTTACTTGGTATTACAACAAAGCACTTTTTAAAATGTGGGTGGGGTTCTACTGTATAAAGTTACCGCAGTCTCTCAATCTCCTTCAACTGGCTTTGTATTTCTATTGCAGCCCACTGAGGCAGCAAAATATGTTGTATTTCCAGAAATTACCTCTCTCTTTTGAGTTTTGAATATGAATTCTACTGCAGCCCATCGCAGCAGCAAACCGAACACGTCTGTTTGTTTTTTTCCCAGAATGTACTCGAAAAAAAATCTTTTTTTGTTTTGTTTTCTTAGTTTTGGGCATCATGTGTCTCTTCCGGTTGCCTTTGAATTTCTTCTACCACAGCCCGTGGAGGCAGCTAAGTCCCCAACTCTTCCAGAAAGGTTGTTAAAAAGGAATTTGTAGCCACTCGTTGGGTAGTTGACGTCAACCAGGAAGCAGCTTTTAATGTGTCATAAAACACATTTTCATCTCCCAAAATAGCAGCACTTGAAGTTGGAGCTATTCGTGGAACAAACACTTGTGAAGTCTTCACAGTTTGTGCCTGACCCGAGTGTGAGCATGGCTGCAATGATGCTGCCACCTGCTGGCAGACACACAGGTGACAGTCTCAAGGCACCCAGAAAAGGCTGAAAATCTCCCCCCCCCACCCCCCCCCCGAAAAAGTCCAATTAAACCTCTTTGACCTTTTCCTTGAAGTGGAATCTAATCTTTGTCTTGGCCCGCGCTAAATGCTGCACTCGCGGAGGACTTTTTATCTGCGTCACAGGCGCTCGCACAAAAAGCCAGTTGTCGCCACGGATGCCCACACTGCCCATTTCTGATGTTTGACAGTTGAGAGGGCCCCTTTTGTTCCCACGCTGGATTTGAAGTCATGAATGTGAAAGAAATGTTGACGGTATTTTAGCTCACTTTAGTTTTTTTGGGCTAGCATTTTTAAGAGGCTGAGACTTTTTTTTAGGGAGGTTTGAGGACACTTGACTTTCAGGAACTGAGGATAACTGATTTTCAAGAGTTTTGGACGCTCCGGAGACTTTTCGGGGAGGTTCGTTGGGCAGTTTCCGAGCTTTGTCGGCCAGTTAGCGTTATGCTGGCATTCCGCTCACACGGAGGCTATTGTGGACATAAGACACAGAACGCCCACTTCAAACTGACTGAAGAAACATCTCAGCCCGCATAGCTGACCCTCAACATTTATCTAAACCTCCAACTCCTCGGGGCTTCGGGTCAACGTCGCACTTGGTTGAGGGCAAACAAGCCCGAGCGGTGTGCTTCAACAGGTCTGATTAGCAAGTGAGTGCTAAATGAGTTCATTTAGAACAACGAGCCACATACCGCAGCGCTCTCTGTGGTCCTTCGAGAAAGTACCAAGAAAGCCGCCCTGATCTCTCCTTTCGATTCCTACCACAGCCCGTCTAGGGATCTTTGGCGATTTCGCCTTTCTTGCACCATGTCTGCTTTCAATTTCAACTGCAACCCGTTGAGGCAGAAAAATACTGTGCCTTAATAGAAAGCTCTAAAATCACACCGCTACAAATGTAACCAGTTCCAATTTGAAAAAGGAATGATGCGCAGCCAAGTTTGAACACTGCCTTGTTCTCGTCAGGTTTACAGCTCGTTGAGGCTGCGAAGTCGGTACTGGGCAATTTTAAAACACACATTTGTGTCTGCAATGAAGTTAAGACATCGTCTTGCTCTCTCCACGTTAACTTTGGATTCCTACCGCAGACCGTTGAGGCAGCAAAGTACTTGCTACTTCTAGAAAGCTTTAAAACATGTTGTTTTTTTCACACAGTAAGTTTAGGACATTGTCCTGTTGTCTGTTACTAATTTGATTTCTACTGCAGCCTATTAAGGCAATAAAGTCCCCTGTCTTTGCAGAAAGGATCTGCCCCCCACAGTAAAGCAAGGATAAATATAAACAGTATCGCGAAAAATCAGGCCATCATCTTGCTGTCTTTCATGTTGCTTTTGTATTCCTACCACCGCCCGTTGAGGCAGGAAGGTGCTTGCTCCTTCGGGAAAGCTCCAAAACATGATTTTCTGTGGTACAGTTAGGTAGGGATATCAACTTGCTTTTTTCACGTTTGATTTCAAGCCTGCTGAGGCAGGAAAGTATCGCCCTTGTAGAAAATGTGACTTTGCCGAACCAAAGTCGGAATATCTACGTTTATGTTCAGCCCGCTGATGCTACTTGCAGCAACTTGCACTTGGTCCTTCTAGAAAGTTCTTTATGACACTCAAGAGTCTGAACTCCTTCAAGTCAAGGGAGGCCTTATCACAAGCAGCATCAATGTGAGGTTACAAGAGCACTTGTAGCACTTAACGCTAAATCCCCTCTCCGGGCCGTACAAAGGCGCTATTCTTAGCAACAAAGCGCACACACACAAACACACACACAGAGACCCAAACATCGCTTGCAGGCCGCCCGGCAAGGCGGCGTAATTGAAGACACATGAGGGCGATCGGCCGGCAAATCGCTTAGAAAAAGTGGCACAAAGGCAGACGCGCGGAAAGAAATACGGGAAATGTGTACAATTTCCATACCCTAGACGTCGGGCGTGCTCGCTGGACAACTTCATGAAAAATTGTGAGAATAAATAAATAAATAAAAATCACCTGGAAACTCTGTGGGGAAGTGACGGCCGGTGACCGGGCCTGGAAGGCAGCCGCGTCACTCGCCAAACCGCGCAAAATACACACACCACACGCACCCCCAGTGGAAACTATGACATTCTGTGTAATTTTAGAGTACTTTTATGCTGGAATGAATGAAGTGGCGGGAGGGATGTTTTACGGCTGCGGACGATCTGACGAGACCAACGCAGTAGAGACGTCAATGAAGGGCCTTTAGCGTTAAAAATAAATAAATAAAAACGTGGATATTTGTGCTCTTAGCAGCTACTTAGCTCGTGGTGCGACAAGGTAGCAATTTAAAATTAATGTTTACTTTCTATTTTCACCGCAGCCCATTGAGGCAGCTGAGTACTTGGTTCTTCTAGAAAGTTCTAACGCGTTAATTTTTTTTTACTGCAGTGAATTTTGGATCTTCCGTTTTTCTTTTTATGCTGTTGTTTTGTTTTGGGTTTTTTTTCCTACTGCAGCACATTGAGGGACTTTCAAAATTGCACTCTGGATTTCTACCCCAAGCATCCGAGGTCCTGCTAGACTGTTCCAAAAAAGCCTTCGCAGAAACGTTCGCAGATTGCCTTGCCCTCTTCAGGTTCACTTGGGATTTTTTACATCGATGGAGTCAAGTCTTACAAGTTCTAAAACTTGCTGTGCACTCCGACAACAACGAGGCGGTCGACGTCGGTGAGGAGCCTGGGTGGAAAAATCCCTGGGCTCGCCGCTGCTAGCAGTTAGCTCAAACTGCAAGCATGACATCAAATATTTGCTATTGAAATTCAGGTTTACTTTGGATTTCTACCGAAGCCTGTTGAGGCGGCCAAGTACTTGGTCCTTCTATCAATTTCTAAAACGAAACTGCAGTAAAGTTAGCACCTCTTCAAGTTTAAATACTTCTACAAAGTTGCAAAACATGTTTTGGGACAATCCAAATGGGGCAGATCCAAAATGCACTGACTCAGCTCCTCAGTACGGCAGTAATAGTCGTGGCTCTTCGCAGAGGATAAAAAATATATGCCTGCGAGTAATAAACCATCTACATGGAGCATCACTGGTGGCTTTCAAGTATCCGTTTTTTAATAGGTGACAACACCATGGCCCCAATGCTGTTCGTCAGCTGTGGCGGTTACCGCCCCGAGTTAGCATGAAGCTAGCAGACAGGCGATGTGGCTGTTTTAAATACACAATTCTCTTTGTGAACACAATATTGTAGGTCAAAGAGATGCCATTAGACAAATGGGTCACAGGCTAATTTTACTTGAAATAAAGAGATATTGACATGATAAACGTGTCAATAGAATTCATACGGAAATCACATTCAAAGATAGTCAAATTGCAGTTCATTCGCAGAAACAAGGACCGCGCCTTCGTAACTTCTCGGTGTAAAGTCAAAGTGTACTAACGGTGCCAGGTAGGTCAACCTTTCACCAACACAGCTGTGAAGCCACAACTGAGTCAGGGCCTTTCACTTCCTGTTTGCCATCCAATTTTCAAAAAAAAAAAAAAACAAAAATAGCCTTTTTTTTCTGCATAACGGCGACGACGGGAAGCTTTACTTTTGTCTTCTGCTTTCATTGTTCAAGAGGAAACATTCCGGGAATGCTGCTTGCCACATTCCCGGCATTCCCCAAGCAATGGAGGGCGCATTCCTTTGAAACCTGTCAGGTGGCGCGTTTGAGAAACTCAAAACGACGGAAGGATGCTGACTCAAATCTATGTGGTTCTTGCTCCGACTTGCTCCAAACACAACAACGGCGGAAAGTTTGAAGAAAGCTCCGGTGGGCGTTTGGCGTCAGTGAACACTCGTACTGGTATAGGTCTGAAAAACGTGGTATCATTCATCCTTTTTTTCAATCGTACATCATATAATCATTTCAACAGGATCAATGCCGCACCATAAAATATTGTCGGCGGTTTTGCCTTCATGCTGTTTTTCTTCCAAATTAAGCATTGTATCTCGATATCACCAGTCGAATGGTACATGTATCAATACCGTATCGATACGTATTGGTACTGCCACATAGATTATCAAGAATGTTCAATATTTGTGTCTTGCGACATTATCATTAAACTACTGTCATGTCATTGGAACAAATGGCAATAACACCGCATTTCCATTTCATTACTCTGTCAATGTATTAATTTTTTTTTTTTAATTGGATGATATCATTGACACAGGATGAAAGCAGCAGAAACATCAAATATCGACGCCCACGATCAAGACGCTTCTTTTTCATCTGATTCCTACTGATCATAAAAAAAAGCTCTCACGAAAGCGCCGTAAATGACTGAATGAGTCGTCTTATCAGTGACGAAATTGCGTAAAACATGCGCGGAGGCGAACGACGTCATTTTCCTGTTGCACAACCTTCGTTAATTTCTACCTAGAGAAGCCTGGAGGGGGGTATTGCACCAAAGTGACCCACTTTGCATCACAGGTGGACTACAGCACTTGTGGGGGGGAACTGGGGGGGGGGGGGCGGTTGCGCATGACAACACGCTGCAACAGTCTCCGACACGTCTGACGAGAAAGTAGCACTTTTATTTTGCGGGGGAGGCACGTTCGGGAATGTTAAGAGACCTTTAGAGTGACTTGCTTTTAAGGTCGCAACACATGTGCACCAAAAATGAGGTCACTCCGGATCGGCAAAGCCGGATACGCTCGATAACGCTATCGGCGAATCTGCGCATCCAACAACAATGCAGCTCTGCTTAGTTTTGACTTCAATGTGTGAGCTGTTCCGCGGCGTGTGACGGGACAGAAAGATAGGGGGCAAGGGAATAAAAAAATAAACAATGAATAAGCCTTTGTGGATCATTTACATTGGCCCCGCCTCTTGATTGTGATAGTCTGACGAATTCGATGCTGGAGGAGTCCACCTGTAGCCTCCATGCGCATTCCTCTTTGAGAGCTGTGTGCCTGTTCACGCCTGCTCGGCTTCATGGAATGTCCTGGCCCTTTTTTTTTTTTCTTTAAACACGCACTCAGCGTGTTGTTAGCACACGCATGCGCCAGTTATGACGCGAGCCAGCGACAGCACGGCGGCCTGAGAGCGGGTGCCCACAGGAAGTGGCGGCGTGTTTACTTTCAAACAATAGCCGGCAGGCAACCGCGGCATGGAGCGGACGCTTCAAAACAGGTTTGCTTATCGGAAAAGCTGCTCCAAAACTTACGGGATAAAAAAAGGGAGTGGGGGGGCCGGAAACATGTCAATAACAGAGACATAAAGACTCATTTTGTGGTGGAAGTACATTGTCAACTTTGAATTGTGACTCAGCGAGAGCGGACGAGGATCACGGAACGATGTGCTCATTGAGCCCAGCCTACCGCGACCCTGTTTAAAAAAAATAAATTTAAAATCAACACAACTCTTGTCATGGCATTGAGCACAAATCCACAAACAATCTCGGCTGCAATGACTTGGAAACGAGACTCCCCAAAAATTGTAATTAAGAGTGGAGGGGAACTTCCTCCGTGATAAAAAACCACACCTATTGGATGGCCCAACAATTCAAATCAACCGGCTTATTGCTCTGACGACAGGACTCAACAGGAACACGAATGCCCAAAAGGTTTGGAGAGTTGTGGCGACTTGAGAGTGGACAAGAATCATCGGCTTCGTCCATCACCCAGTTTTGAGCATGGCTCAAAAACATGACCACGGCTCAACCTGAAAGTCTCGGAATGTTTATGAAGTTGGAACATTTTCAATTCTAAGTGATTGAGAGTGGTCAAGAAATGTACAGATTTTTTTTTTAAAATCACACTTTCTGCGAGGTTCTTATTTGTTTTTAGAATTTGCGCGGTGGACCAGACGAGAACGACCGAATCAGCTTTTTTTGACGTTCATTGGAGGAGCGAGTGCGTTTGTTATGGTTTGCTCACGCATGTACAAAAGCGCTCTATGGACGGCGTGAAAAGAGGCTTTCTGGCCGGCGCGCGGACGCAAACAAACAGGGGATCAAGAGGCGTCAAAAGAGGCCCTTTATGAAAAGATGGAGGTGCTAAAAAAAAAAAAAAAAAGCTTGCACCACGACCTCTGCCTTTCTACCAAGGGGATGTGTGAAAGCGCCACAGAGCACACTTGTCGTCGTTGTCGTCGTCATGGGACCCACAATACACCGGGATTGTCGCTGTCAAAGCCAAAGTCAGTGGCGCACATCTTGGATTGCAGATGATTCAAAATCTATTGTAATCTTGCTTTGAAACAATGATCCCTAAAAGCTTTCGAATTGTGGCTGCCCAAGAGTGGTTATAGTTGCCATTTCCCTTGGAGATGCCATTATGACTGTAAAAACATATAAAGAAGTCAAGAATAATCGTTTCTTCAACTCTTTAAGTGACTGTAATGAGGGGTTTGGTAACAAGAAAATATGCTGACAACAGCTCTCATTTATTACATATGATCATTTTAAAATCTGGAAGCATCATGGAAGTTGACATGCTTGATAGGCTTTCGCGGGCCACATAAAATTATGTGGGGGGCCAGATCTGGCCCCCGGGCCTTGAGTTTGACACTAGTGTTCTAAGTTATGGGAATTGTTCAAAATCTATTGGGTTTAGGTTCTTTCACTGGCATGTGCAAATTTGAAATGAAGAATTAGGCCCCTGGAGAGTGGATGAGAAATATCGCCTCAATTGGAGCTTTCTTATTCCGGTTTCCTTTTGGTTTGAGTGCAGTTCAAATCCAACAGGATTCTTGCTCTGTCGTCAAGACGCTGCCAAAGTTTGCGTAATAACGATTGTGGAATGCATACTTGCTTTATTCCAGAAAAATAATCCGCGCTTGTTTAGAATTTTTGGCTGCTTTAGACAGGATTAGGTACTACTGTACATCTATGACATACTACAGTACTTCATGTAACCAGGTGTTGCCTTCAGGGACAGTCTAAAATAAGAAGATTATCTACCTATTGCCAGGTGTCGTACTAAATACACTGACATCCATTTACAGCGAATGTCAGAGGCAGTCTGACATCACAGCTTTCAGTATAGCCTTAAGGGACAATATGACGCCATAGCTATCCTCACTCATTATTATCATTATTGTATTCAGTGTTCAGGAGTTGCATTCACAAGTAGACTAAAAATCACGGCATCCGCAACACAGCTGTGGTACGATACATTTAGAAACAAGTGTGGCCTTGAGTGACGGTCCGAAATCATAGCGGAACTAACCCTCGTTTGTGTCTACTTTGAATGCGTGCAGACTTTGCCGTAGAAAACGTAACGTCCCTCAGTTTGTCTCAGCGTGGCTACCCGTCACAAAGTAGTTGTTTCTACACAGTCGTTTTGTAGTCTAAACCCTTTAACTCCACTCAACTCAGGATTAAATAGCATATTATTGCGGTTTAATAACGCAGTCAGTTGACTAAATAAGTTATTAGCTTTGAAGTTGTGAGCTAACTGAGGGGAGGAAAAAAAAGGCGATGTGCTAATTTACAAGCGCGATGGCTTCACTTACCTCTGCCGTCCGCAAGGCGGGCGGCTTCCTCAGCGCCAGCTTGAAAGAACTTTCCATGGCTCCGGTCATTTTCATAACGTCGAATTCCAACTAGGAGGGACTTTTCCTTCCTCTTTAGTATGTCTTTAAACTTTGGATGCGATCATATTCTCCGCGTTGGAGCTCGTCCTCGCCCGGGTGCGCATTGACGGTGGGCTTTTTCAGCTACCGCCCCTGCAGCCGGGCAGGGAAATCACGCCAAAAACTCAAAAGGCCTCAGAAAAGAGCGTCGTAAAGCAGTTAAAAGTGCCACAAAGTTGTATCCGGGTCGTCATGGGTTCTGTACGTCCATCTCGACCGCCGCCACCGCGAGTTCCATCCGAACGGTGGAGGTTTTGGTGCCCTCCTCCCGGAGAAAGGAGCGAATGTGGCGAGTTGACGACATACATCTGTTTGCCAGTAAAGTGGCGTTGCGTTCGGGTACACTCGGAAACGAAGGAATCCGGTGACGACGCACGGAAAATTGACATAATTTACGACGTAATCAATTCCTTCGGATGTAATCACTTGTATAAAAACAAGTTTAACTTTATTTTAACTATTTGAAAGATAACTAACCGCGTTGTACTCTGATAGCCGATAGTCACGCACTTTTATGTAGTCCTTGAAGGCATCGCCGACTGCTGACACTTTCAGTAGCTGTGAAGTGTAGCGAAATCTGACTACCGTAATAAAAGCCACGACGTTCATAAATGACACGAACTTTATCTTGTATTCACTGGTCAACACCCCATATTATGTAATGGTGTCATGACAAGAACAAGTGCGTGTTTCAAGTCGCTTTCTTAAACGCTCCTTGTTGCGCTCGTCTTATTGCATAACTGGGGCGAGCGCGACGGCTTTGCTCGACTTTTTCTACCGCAAGGAGGCGGCACGACGGGTCGGCATTGACGAGAGGTTTCAAGGTTCAAGTTTTTTGATGATTCAATATTTAGAATTTTAACATGAATAATTTGCTATTTACACCATTGAAATAACAAGTACAATATTTGAGCATCAAAACATTCAGACCTTTTGAAATATAGTCTCTAAAAAAAGCAACATACGACAACGTTTAATATGTAATAATAATCAACGTTTTATGATTTTAGTATATATTTTACAATCTAGTGTTTTGAAATAAAATTAGTTGGGTCATTTTTCGTTTTTATTGATCGATATAATAAATCATACCGTATATTACTACTGTGTTTTTGTACTGCATATTGCTTTATTTTGAAATATTTAAGGACTACACTGCGGTGCTTTTTATGGCAAAGACGTGTAGTAATATAAAAAAATAGAGAACTGAAATGATTATTGTGAATATTGTTATTGATATAATACTAAAACTAATTGTACTTTTAGTGCTTAATGTTGCAATTTGAGATTTTTATTATACTGTAATACTTTCCATTTAAGTTGAAGCATTATAAAACATTTGGCTTTCTTGAAATATGTCATTTTACTGTCAAGTGGATGTAAAAATATATGTAAAGTCATTTTAATGAAATACAAAGTATGTACAGCTTACGACTACCGGTAATGCCTTTTGTCACAAATAATTGTGCAGTAATAGATTTAATTGCAAAAATGATCTGGAAAAAAACAGGTGACACCTTTATGTCCAAATGTCTGCATCTTTATTGCACAACATTCCCATAAAATTGGGAAAAGGATACATTTCCAAGGAGACAATTGTTGAAAAGGTATAAATACATGGAAATGAATTGTACAGTCCACAAAAATAACAATAGTATAACAATTAAATAACAATAGTCATTTACAAAGGACGCTTTTAACACACGAACAACAAGCGCTAAACAACGTTAGCGGCTGTTTGGAAGCCTGCGGTGACATCATCATTTCCCCTTAAGACAAAAAGAATGAAAGCGCTGTTAAAAAAAAAAAAAAAAAAAACAAGAATAAGAAAAACAACCCTTTGTGGATCTTCCTACATTTTGTTGCGGTTACTCCTCACCGTGAACATGGTAGAAAAGGGTGACAATATTCAGCATTTTATGTTTGGTTGTAAAATAGACAGCGCTGATTCTTTGACACGGAGAGTGAGGGAGTAGGGAATGGTGGGGGGGTAGTTACATGTTGATTCGCGGTAGTCACATGTCGACTTCAGGGTTTTGGTTTTTTTTTTTCAATACATGACCTCAGGGTACTTTTGTGAATGGTGCATAAGATCTGAGGTAGCGTTTGGAAATTTTCTGAACCGGTTTCTCTTGGTATATATTTGGGTAAGAACAGTTGGGGAAAGGGTCAAATTTGGCTTGTAAAAAAAAAATGGCATTCTTTTTTAGAAAGATTTGAGCACGGCTGGCTTGTTTTGAGATTGTACAGAAAAAGCACAAAATTGAATAGAAAATACCTCAAAGCATCTTTCTCGGCATTAAAAGTTAATCAAGTACCAAGGAATGTGAAGGCCAACAGTGAAAAGAATATTTTTTTTTCGAAATGACACGGCCAAGTCTCAATCTGACAAGTTTGAAGTCAGAAATGACATTTTCAAGAAAAATAAAGTTCCTAATTAATAATAAAGTTGTACATTTGAGAATTTTGTGTGTGTGAAAAAGTTGCATATTTTTAAGAATAACGTACATTTGACTATTGTTCTATTTTAGAGGAGGAAAAAAAAACTAATCTCACAAGAATAAAACGGAAATTTAAGGAGGGAAAGTCTCCTTTTTATACAATCATTAGGTTAATATTCTTTGTAAGATGACGATTTTTCAACCCCCCTGAAAATATACATCTTATTTGTCATCAAAATAGATGTCTTAGTTCTCATTAGATTCTGATTTCACTCTTGTGGTGTATTATTTCGCTTCTTTTCAGTGTGGTCCTAACACTCCTTTCGTAGTGAAGTCTTTGGCTTGGTGATTGAAAACAAAACAAAACAAAACAAAACAAAACAAAAAAAAACTACAACATTCAAACAAGAGGCTCTTCCTTTCTTGCCCAACTGCACCCTCCTGTGGTGAGATGGGAGTACTGCACCTGTCAGCAGCAAACAGTTGTGAGGTCCACAAAAGAAAAAAGGAGGAAAACAGGAAGCCGGGACGCGTTCCCTCCTCCTCACAGCAATATCTGGGCCACGTAGGGCGAGTGCGTGCTGGCCACGGCGGCAAGAAGCGGGAGGTCACTCGATTCGATTCTGAAATAAACAAATGGCATCACACATCATCTGATCCAAAAATACACCAGTCCCCACCGTATGACAACAATAATAATAACGGTAACAATAATGATATATATATATATATAACAGGTTCTCACCCTAAGACCATGCCCAGTTCTTTGACGTGGACTCTCTTCTGACCCTTCAGGTACTCAGCCAGCATCTTGCTCTTGAAGTAGATCTCCTGCAGGCGGTCCTCCAGGTGCATGATGCACTGAGAATGAAGGAGAGCCGTCACAATGTGGGCCGTCAAAATCAAGACTCAATATAGATATTTTAAAAAAAATTAAGTGGTGAGTTTTGCAAGTTTCTCTACAATATCACAACTTTTTCTCAATTCTCAAATTCCCGTCGTCCCGAGAGATTGGCTAAAGTCTCACAAGATTTCCTCGAGGCTCAATATTTTTGAAGACTCGAGATAATTTTTTTTTTTCACAGGTTTTTTTTTTCTGAAATCTGCCGAGATTCTCTGAAGTCTCGCTCTTTGCTTTTTTCTGAAGTTTCACGTGATACTTTGCTAAAATCTTTGCACAGCTCTGTGACATTTTCTCATGTCTCACGAGATTTGCTGAAGTTTCGTCTCACAAAGAGACGACTTTTGCTTCATTCCTTCCACAAATCTCGTGTTCCACCTCGAGATTTCAATTTGGACAAAATTCCAAAAATGGAACACATTTGGAAATTGGAAGCTGGTGTCTACTATGGTCATTTGATGTGTGCGTGCGTGCGCTGCGTACAAAGTTGGGGGACATGTTGAGCTTGTAGAGCTGCTGCGTGGAGTGCAGCAGTCCCGACACCAGGCTGGACACCAGCACCTCCTTGCCCAGCTTGCCCACGTCGGTGGCTCTTCTCTGACTGCTGGCCACCTGCACCGTCCACTTGTCCGTGTCGGCCACGATGCAAACGGCCTCGGCGATGGGCTCGTCCAGCACCGGATGCTGCGTACGACAACACCGGATATCATTAGACCGCTTGTTTCCTGAAGCGGTTCTCTCTCTACACTTTTGGGGTACAAGGACCCCTTGCATGGGAGAAATAAACAAAGACCACACGTACACCTAAATGCGATAGGAATTCAAACCGTTTGCGGACACCATTTTGAGGTATTAAAACGGATTCCCTTTACCTGGACGGCGTGCGTGAGTTCGGCCATCAGGCTCTGCCGTAGCTTGTCGTCGCTGGGCATCCCGTGCAGTACAAAGTCCGGCACGTAGGTGGGGCAGTAGCCGCCGAAAAGGGAGCGGCCAAAGTTGGCGATGGTTGGCTTGGAGTAGTTCTCCACCAGTTTGGAGCTGCCGGTACAAACAGATCTTTTGAGTTTGGATTTTGGATCATTGATGTGGAATTTGAGCAATGGAAACGATCCCATGTCAGTACATGGTAGTAATCACCGAGAGAACCAGTCATTCAGGTCAAATTGGTTTGCGGCCAAAAGCAAGAGACGCTTTCGAGTTTAAAAAAAATAAATAAATAAAAAAGAAGGGCATGGTATGACTAAATAAATACATATTGTCAATGCGTATATAGCTATACACGCAAACAATTTAAATGCGACCCACGAGGTCATATTTAGATCCACGTTTCCTTAGAATTGCGATGAAAAAAAAAATCTGGAAAGAATAAACGGGGTAACTCACCCTGGGAAGGGCACTATCACCTCCTCCTGCCAGTCCTCCGTCTCCTCGCTCTCGCTGTCGCCCAGGGCGCTGTCTGAGCTCTCGTTGCGCGGGATCTCCCAGTCGTTGAGGGGCGTCGCCTTGCACTTTTGGTCCTCACCGCCGCCGCCTCCGTCCCAGTGGAGGACGGGCACGGACAGGACGAGTCCCTTGTCACACGAGTCCGTCGAGGCGCACCTGCACCTCCTCTGCGCGTCCGCCGAGTCGTTGGCGTTCTCCGCGGCGCCCTGAACGCCGCGGCCTGCCCCCGAGGGGTCCAGGAGGTCTTTGCGAAGACCGGCCACAGTGCCGGCGGCCTCCTCCCGTTTGGCCACGTCGTCTATTGTCCTCGTCTCCACCGGGTTCTCTGGACAGAAGTACTCGTCGAATTGGCTGTAATCCGGAGCGTCGGGGTTCCACTGGGGAAGTTTGCTGGACACCCGCGCGAAAGGCGGGGGGCCCTGCGGCGGGGGCGGCTGAAGATGGTGGAGCTTTCTGTGCTTGTTCATGTCCTCCTCCACCTTCCTCCGCCGGCTCTCGGTGTCCGACTCCGGCGACATGGAGTCGCCTATGAGGAAG